TGGAAGGTTGGTACCCTGTGTTATAGTGTTGTATATTGGGCTTTTTGTCTTGCTTGTTTGCTTTCTATATATTAGGCTTCTCTCTCCTACCGAATGTTCTCTCCTGTGCTGAGGAGTTTGGTGGGAAGTCGTTGAGCAGCTTTTGATTACTTTTCAGCAGCTGACTTCAGTAAATGTATTTTGAGGCAGAAGCCTTGAGCTGGATACAGGCAGGATTCTAAAAAAACAATTGGTATCTTACTGAGACAGTTCTAGTGTTGAATCCCTAAAAGATGAAGGAACCTATCTACTTATGTTGCTGTAGTTCTGTCTGAGATGCCTTTTGTTCCTGGGGCTGTTAGTTCATACGGTTATAAACACGCATCCTATTACATTATAAGCTCGTGTTCTTATATGTCACTTGTCCAGTTAACTAAATTGCAAACTCTGAAGATCATCTTTGGAGCAAATACAATCTCGATACATCTCATTTGCTCAGCAGCACTGTGGTTCCTTGTTAGAGTCATCAAACGTGACTTCAATAAAAACTTGTGATTTGCTACGTTATCTCTTTCTTTCAGTCCTGCCCTGTTTTGTGGCCCTGCACTGTGGCTTCTCAATGCTATGGGACAGAAATCAGCAGTCTCCAGGGCAGCTACTGGTAGCTGACTTTATTCAGCTGTTGATTTTTATTTTTTGAGATGACTCAAACCTCCCAAACAGTGTAGACAGCTGCTGTTGTGTTGCTGTAGACCCTCTGTGTGCAAGAGCTAGGTGAAATAATAGCTGAGTGGCATGCCTGGGTCTTTGCTTTAAATATGTATAATGAATGATGTAGCTCATAACTCACGTGTTTTGGTTTTCTTGGGCTAAGGCTGTGACTTGCATCATGAACCTGGACTAAGAGCACGGAGAGCTGGGGTCCTAACGAGCCTTTAATACTGATTGGGATGAAATATATTGGGGTTTCGTGTAGAACTGAGGACTTTGGGCTGGTGGGCTCTACTGTCTGATCAGTAGTGTGCTTGATGTGCTAGGTAATGTTCAAGAGGCAAACATTTTTACAGTATAAAGGAGGGCTTCCAAAAAAATTCACCTGGATCTGGAAACAAGAGCTTCTCTCATATCTTCTAGTCTTGCTTCTTAGAAGTAGTTTCCCAGGGAAATTTGTACCCTTTGGACACAGAGTTAATGAAAAGGTAATGCGTGTGTTTAGCACTCTACTCTCTTACCCTGAAGGAAAGCAAAAAGGAAAGACAATCAGAATTGCTTCCTCCTATGTTCTTTATAATGCTTCTGTTGGATGATGACAGTTGAGTGATGAAAGGCTGTCATCGTGCTCAAGAAATTGATCTGTATTTAGTTTGGATTTATCAGATAAAAGGAGTCAGTTTTGGTTAAAATGGGCTTACCAGCTGGTAATTGATCAGCTTGCATCCATGAAGAGATGAACAGCAGTGACAGAAGCCTCTTTCCTCTTCTTCTCTTCTAGGTTGACATGCATAGATATCCATGGGTGATTGGAAATGACAAATTCTCAACTATTTTTATTTTTACTATTTTTTCAGTGTGCAAGGAAGATAACTTGAACTGGAGATAAAACAGAACTTAAATGACTAAGCCCTTGATGAAACTTAAATGAAAAGCCCTTGCTTGATCGTGTGGGCCTGGAGGTAGTGGAGAGATTGCTGCAGGGACAGTGCTGTGTCCGTCATCAGCAACCCATGGCAGCCCTCATTTCTCTTTTACTGGCACAGGCTGCCCAAGGAGGAGGAGTCCTAAAGCCATGAAGATGTGGCACTGAGTTATGTGGTCACTGGGTATGGTGGGGATGGGTCTGGGTTGGGCTTGGTGATCTGGGAGGTCTTTTGGAACCTGAATGATTCTCCCCATGCCAGACACTCAGTTTGCCCAAGCCCTCTTTTCTGCTCCTCTTCTTTTTCTTTTTCTTTTTCTTTTTTTTTTTTTAAGCTCTTTACCCATGCAAATGACTTTGGGATGCAATTCCCTGCCCTGCACACTGAATGTATAACTGGGGTGAAACGCTGGCCTGTGTTTATGGGACTTGCTTGCTATGCAGTGTCTGGGCTTGTGGTCATTATATCCCTGTTGGCAGCATGATACTGCATACAATGTGCTGGTTGTGATCCTAATGTGGTCTTGGGGAGGAACTTGGAACTTTCACTCTCACTTCTGTGCCTGTATTTTCTGCTGTCCCATCTCTGAGGTGTGTGAAAATGATTAAAATTCTCATTACTCATATGAACAATGTGGAAAAGAACAGCTTTGGAATTAAAATTCAGAGAGAAATTGAATCCCATAGCAGAGTCTGCATTTATATTCAAAATATGCTAATATGCTGTTCCATGAGGTTTTTTAATTCAATCAGGAAATCACCTAACAATAAAAGCCTAAATATATATACAGAAAGGAAAGCAAGTGACAAAGTCAGTTGATGGTATTGATAAAGTCTAAGCCCAGATTTAGATATGGTGATTGATAGCTTTTTTTTTAATCATTCTTTGCTCTCGCTTGGCATTGGCACAGTGAATAAACATTGTTTTTCACTCCTCCTTTGGTATTATCTAGAAGTTCTGAAGAAACGAGCTGCTCCACACAATGCACTTGGCTTCTAATTTAGTTTATTACGTAACTGAATGCAATTGCTAATAGAGAAATTATTACTGGCTAATTGGCCTAGTTAGTATGAGACAAGACCAATTTCAGTATAACCATAGCTTTCATGTTTTGTTACATCGCTTAGCTCTTTGATGGGCATGGCAGGAGATTGTTAGCTGTTTCTTACTGCACAGGCATGCAGTGTTCAGCATGGGGACAGTAGGATGCTTTTGGAGCGCGATAGGCAGTAGGAGGTGCCTGACTGCACGGATGTCACTGGGACTTTGCTTCTCTTGCAGCAACTGGCTGAGTCCAGATGTTTGGATATCTGTTGGCACTTGGTTACAGCGCCTGTTAAAAACTTGCCTGCATTGAAGTGTCAGGGCTTTGTCATTAGAGAGGCTCCTGTTGCTGGATGAGAGTCCTTTGAGTAATTTTGCTGACAGACTTGCCCAAAGAAAGCAAGCATTAGCGGCGCAGAAAAGAAGTGTGTTGCCAGATACACAGGTTGTTAATTGGCTGGCCTTGTGGGAGATATCAGGGTTTTTGTGGAGGTAACAACACTGGAAGCTTTTTCTAAAGCAAAGAATCTCAAGTAATTGCATCATGCAATATGCAAAGCACCTGACTGCAAGCAGAGGCTGAGGCACCGCGGGGAGGCGGGCTGCAAGTCACTGTTTGGCAGCCAGAGGTTCAGCTAGAGAACTGCCAATCTTTCTTAATCAAGGGGTTGAATAATCATGTTATTTGAATGGGTTGTTCAGCCTGGAGAAGAGAAGGCTGCGGGGTGATCTCGTTGCAGTCTTCCAGGACCTAAAAGGAGCCTACAAACAGGAGGGGAGTCAGCTCTTGGAAAGGGGAGAGAACAGCAGGACAAGGGGAAATGGTTTGAAGTTGAAGGAGGGCAGATTGAGGTTGGATGTCAGGGGGAAGTTGTGTGCTGTGAGAGTGGTGAGGTGCTGGAACAGCTGCCCAGAGAGGCTGTGATGCCCCGTCCATCCCTGGAGGTGTTGAAGGCCAGGTTGGATGGGGCCCTGGGCAGCCTGGGCTGCTGTGAAATGTGGAGGTTGGTGGCCCTGCATGGCACAGGGGGGTTGGAGCTTCGTGATCCTTGGGGTCCCTTCTAAGCCTAGCCATTCTATGATGGATTTCAGCTCACACTGCAGTGCTGCAGGGATATCCCAGCAAAGGGCATTGTGACTTCTGCCGGGAACCTGGAACTTTTGCATTTGTCTTTAAAGGTAATTGCTGCTTACACATGGGAACAAAGGATGTTTTCGTATGCTGAGCAGGTGCTTTTGTGCTGCTCACTGGTACTCTGGTTGTGATGTAAATGGCTTCTGTGTTGCTCTGAGCAAAAGATGGTTCTGTAAGTACAGCTTGCAAACTCCGTTCTGCAATATCTGTTAATTCTTATCTGTGTCTTTCAGACGCTTCTATTTCCCTTTGACAGCTGTGTGACATAGCCTGGCTCTTTCCAGAGTCACTCAGCTATTTTCCATATGATATAATGGCACACTTCTGCAGGTCATGTTCTTACAAATCTGGAGCTAGGTGTTCATTGCATTGGCAAGGACAACCTATATAAGATGAGACCAGTATACAAAGCTTGCACATAATTAAAACCCATCCAGGACCATTTTCAATAACTAGAGTTCATTGCATTTTTCTTCATACCAGTAAATGATTCAATATGAAGGCTTTTCCAACACTAGCAATCATTTTTCAGACACCAGGAGGCTTTCTTGTCTCCAGAAACGTGCACGGCCCAATTCTGACTGGTTTTATGTTGGCTGTGCAGTGTGTGATGAAGATTAGACAAAATTTGCTTCCTAATTTAGGGCCTTCAATGGCAACTGGTAGCTTCTTACATATATTGACTACTGCACCTGTGAAAGAGAGGGAAAGAAGATATGAAACATCCATCCTGATACTCCTAAAGCTTATACTCTGCATCCTATTTATAAATCATTCTGTGCAGAAGGATGATAATCTTGCAATATCCAAAACTAACCTGTACCTTGACCTGCCTGCTTGAACTGCAGGGAGCCCTTGGCTGGGTTTGCACTGGAGCGCTGCGTGTGTGTGCTCAAGAGCCCCAGAGGTTGCTTTCATGAATTAAATTACAAATAAAACCCATCTAATGCCTGAGATCTTAGAGCACCACAAGTGCTTGTGTCGGGCAAGAATGTGAACTGTGCCACCTCTATGAGCTCTTGAACATCTTAAGCCTCAATTTGAAGTCCCAACATTTAAACTGTATGTAAACAGTTTTTTTTTTTATCCAGGTTTAACAATGATCTTTATTCATGTGCCAGACTGAGGTGTCTTTGTATGAATATGAGGTAAGTGGTGTATTTAGAGCCCTATGGAATTTTGCACAATCTTTTTTGTTTCCTCAGAAAGCAAAGCTTGAAGTTTGGTGCATTTATTTCCTCCTTCAGCATGGTCTAAAATGCAGGACCAGAAACACTACTGAGTGGTGGAGATGGATGACAGTAACTGGAACAGCATGATCAGTTGCTCCTCTTCTGTCTCAGTGCGACTATTCAGATCCAAATGTAATTCCATGCACGTATGAAGAATTAAGGCGTGTGGTGTGTATTTTTTTCATTTCCATCGTAAGTTATTATCTATTATGTCTAAATTTGGCTCTGCTATTGTTGAACTTGCTCAGCAGTTGAGTACTTAAATCTCAGTCACTTTCAGTCTTGTCTTTAGATGTGTTGCACTTCTTCCTGGCTCTAGGATGCTGATACTTTATATTTAACAAGTTAAGATGAATGGTGTACTGACGTGTGATGTTTCTTTAGCTCCTCCTACCTTTTCTTAAAGTTAGTGAAGCCTGATTGTTTATTCTATGCTGACAAGATTTCATCATGCCCAGCTGCTTTTTGCTCAAATTTGTGCCATGGCTCCTGCTTCTCCTACTGACCCAGATGTAGAATTGAATGTGCTTGCCTGGCATATCTATGTTATGCTGGACATCCTCAGAGTAGTGTTTAAGCTGCTAGCTTGCATGGGACCTGCAAACTTCAAGGGTCTCTACCATACTTGAATATCATTTCCATCTGGTTGTGTTGAGTGGGCATCCCTTGCTATTACAGATGCAGTTGAGGGAGTGCCATGGGTGGTGGCTTTGTGTGGTGTTTGATAATGAGCCCAAAAGTGATTTGTATTAAAAGGGCACGTGTGAAGGAGAGAGGCAGATTTGCTGCCTTGCTGGTATTGGAGGAGGCATCAGTGTCTGCTCATGAAGAGCAGCTCATCCTGGGGCCTCGATGCCAAGGCTCCCTGGGTCATTGAGGCCAAGAATCTGGAAGCAGCTTTGAGTTGTCTTCTGGGTTTTCATCTGGATTCTGGGTTTAGTCACCAAGGCTTTGTGAATGAACAACCAGAAGAGGACCAGGGACTGCTTTGGGTCATTCTCTGCAGTCAAGTGGACTGGACGTAAGAAGGTGTATGTGTGTTGACACGGGTTGTGCTTTCCTGTGTTGCTCCAGGCATGGCCCTTGGCTGCTTCTTCATCGCTACCTTGAAGCTTTGTCTGGAAAATCCTCCCACAGGTGTTAGGTGAGATTTGTGGGTAGACTTCATTCAAGTTCAACTTCTTTAAGCCTTCTGGCCAGTGTATTCTGTCTAGGTGAGCTAGAGCCAGCATGTTGACAGGTACATGTGAAGACCTATAAGAAATACAGGCTTTCTGAATTGCATCTGTGACTCTCAAGACATGAATGATTATGGTTTGTTTCCCTGTTATCCTCCAGTGGCCTGGATATCCTTACAGCTTTCACAATGTCCTGTTTCAAATCCATGGTTCATATTTTTGAACTGCATTCTTTTCCTTTCTGCACGAGTAAGCTGTTAGCTGTTGAAATGCTGTTTTTTTTTTTTGGCTTATTTGTGAAGCAGAACAGCCATTTACTGAGGCTCTGAAGGAGGGAGGATGAGCAATTCTGAGACGGGCTAAAAGCAATCACCAAGCATGAAGCAAAGCAGGTCATGACTCCAGGCAGTATTAAGTAAGTCATCAGCAGAGGGGAGAAATAGTAGAATAGTAGAAACAATTCAGAATGTTTCTAGGGATGGCTTTTGAGGGCAGCTGTGGAAGAAAGTGGGAAGAGTTTGGGTAAAATTCTCTTAAACTGATCAACTAGGAAAGGGTTTTGAACTGAGGTGACACTATTAGCTCAAGCAACACTCGCTAAATTTTCTCTGCTTTTACGGCCTATCGAAACAAAATGTTTTATTTAACCTGGAGTAAGTTTCTCTCTGCCCCTCGGTGAGTGTCATTGGTTTGACTAACAAACCAAGGAAATCAATTATTCTCGCAGTGCTGAGCACAATGTGCTTCACTGTCTAACCAAAATCAGTAGGAGTGTTTAAACTGTGGTGCAACAGCATGGGGTTGTTTGTGCTAAAATGCAGCGCGTGGTAGACAAATCCATTGAATATTGGGCAAAAAGCATTATTGCTTATGTCTAACAGCTGTATTATCATTATATGGTTGGTTACTTTCTAAGGGATTCTAAGACTACTTCTGATGGCAGAGCACTCCAAAACAAAGAGCTCTGCTCTTGCAGCCTAGGAAGAGGAAATTCAAATGTCTAGGCAGTATTGGCAGCCTTGGAAAAGGTAATCATTGTGTGGTTGTTTCTTAGGCGTTGTCAACGTACAACTGCTGGATGTTTTGGCTTTGGGAAGTGTTTGCAAACTAGGGGTACTACTGGGAGATTAGGTGACAGACTGAGCCCTAGGTAAAAGCACATTACCTTGAGCTTGGGGAACTGAGTCTTAGCATGGGCAAAGCCTGCACTGAGCTAAAATACTGCCTTAGGTCTAAGCTATCTCAAGTGCCAGAGCTTAAGTATGTTGAAACTTGGTGAAAATGCCTACCTCCAGGCTAACCATCTCTTGGCTGCTGGATAGGAGAAATAATATTTAGACAACGGCCGTAATGAATGGCCTTTCTTGGCACAGAGGTCTCTGGCTCAGGGATCCCATGCTCATATGAGGCAGGAACACGATGCTAGATGATAGTATTATCAAACCCTGAATAACAACTGGATTCATGAAACCAGTGGCCTTCCAGCTAAAGACCTAAACTGAGGGTCTTTCTCTTTAGAGTAAAAGTTTGTGATTCAAGTGGGTTAGAAGCTGGGCTGGAGGCAAAACATGAACTGCTATTCTGGATTCTGGAGATACAAATTGCAATTGTAATAACTTCAGAAATGTTCTCACTGCATCCAGGACTGCAGTGGAGCCAGTTCAAGTGTCCCTGGAATGCTTCTGTTGTAATGATCATAATACTTTCCAATTTAATGTCTTGTAGTTATTACATGTACAAACAGGGCTCTTCTTGAAAAAAAGAAATAGCTAAAAGGGCAAAATGTTGGCAGGTAGAATGGATAATTTTTAAAGATGCCATGTTAAGACATCTACAGCAAATGCATATCATGTACTTAAAAAAATAATAATCCTTAGGAGTCTGTCAACTTCGTAGGCTTTCTTTACAGTCAGTAAGAGAGAGATGCAAAGGGAGAAACTTCTGCTTCTAGAAGAAATTGTCCACTGCAAGAAACGCATGCATTTGCACTTCTCAGAAGCCACAAAGTATTTTCAGAAACTGTAAACGTGCCTCAAGTTGAGTCCATGCTTGTGATGCAAGGTGAATTTGTGGGGATGAGTAATGATAGATCAGGAAATGCAGCCTGATTTAGTGGGCATGGTGGTGATGTGAGCATCAGCTCCAGCTGTTGACTTAGTGGTCTTTTCCAACCTTAATGTTTCTGTGATTTTTCTGTATTGCTTTCATGTGAGAGATCTTTGAGAATTTCTTTATTGGAGCCTTTTTTTCTTTGAGAGAACGCAGTTTCAAAGTCAGGTGCCAATAAAACAAGTTAGAGGGGCATTACTAAAACTGATAAACTGAACTGTTAGGTCCAGGTTGCCGTAATCTCCTCCACACAAAGAAAAACTGAAATAAGATTTAAATGACCTGGCCATTTAAGTAGTAGATAATTGTTCATTTAAGCTTGCATTAGGGGGATGAACGTAAAAAGGCCTGGAGGACTTTGCAGACCACTGAATTTCAATTCCATGACTAGTAAACCAGGTGAAAGTAGAACAGTATTGATAAGTGTGATACAAGAGGAATAATACTTGCTCAGCTGTGATTCAACTTGATTAAAGGCAATCCAAGCATTCCCTGCCAGAAGGGAGTCAGTCCCTAAACTGAGATTAATTTCTTTTGAACTTAGTTTCGTTGTAGGAACAAAATGGTTTCTCATTCATAGGAAATGTGGATGACAGCATGGTGTTCCAGAATTACTGAATGTGTTTTACCTGCAGTGAAGATGCACCAACTGTTTGTTCTCTGCAACACATGATGAGGTGCTAACTGCAATCAGGTGAGAACACCAGGGAATGGATGCTTAACAAACTGCCTAATCACAAGTCCATTATGCTCTCAGAAGTAACAGGATGCTGAGTGCTTCAATTAATACTGGGCTTTTTGTATAAATCTTGTTTTTATTAATTTTACAGCAATTCCTAGCAGGTGCCTGCCAGTGGGAGCTTCAGCTAAATGTGGGGTGCTCAGGTTTTGTTCAGAGATGGATTTAACCATATCTGGAGTCTGGATGTTAAATAAAACACCTATTATGCATTATTATCCCATGTCTGCAACAAGTTATCACTTTTTTTTTTAAAAGTACATTCTTTTCTCATGTAAGACTGATCTCAAATGAGTACTTCTTGCACACAGAGGAAATACATTTGTGCACTGAGATTTTTTTATGCAGCGAGTACGCATGTAAACACCCTCCATGTGCAGGACTCGTGTGCTCAAATGCCTGTTCCCATAGCTAAATGGAGGTGTTACTGCTCAGGAAAACTGCAAATGTTTTATATTTGCATTCAACAGATATATTCGTTTCCACTTCTTAAAAAAGAAGCAGTCTATCTCAACGAGTGTAAAGAAATCTGCTGTATGGATATATTGAAAGAAATAATCGAGACATTTTTGGGAAGTCTTACGTTACATTTGGTGCTGAAACTCTGAAACGTGTCCATTTCAAAGATGTATTTTTGTTTTCTTGTTTTTGGTGTCTTTTTTTTTTTAATGTTTGTTTTGCAGTTTTAACTTTCACGTTGCAATCTGGCATATGTGGATATCGACACATATCTGTTTTGAGCATGTATTTTGGAGAGCAAAGTATGATACGTCTGTGCTGGTCGCCAGCCTCAAGACCTGGCACTCGGGTTTACAGAGGGCTTTGGATGCATCAGGCTTCCATTGGATGCATCAGGCTTCCATTGGATGCATCAGGCTTCCATTGGATGCATCAGGCCTCCGTTACAGCAGTTTGGCCTCTGTCCAAATGGATCTTCATGCAGTCTTCCAAGACTGGATGCTTTGCTAGATAAGGACAACGTGCAAACCAGGATTTCTTAGTAGGACAAAAACAAACCTGAGAAAGTCTGCTGAAGCCAACTGCATGCAGTCTGAATTTGAAGAAACTCTGAAGCCTTTGATGAATGTAGTCTGAGGCTCATACGTTCAAGCCAGGAAGACTTGTTATTTGATTGAC